TCGCAGGTATGCTCAAGCTCAGGCCCCTCGCAGGCCTCCTCCCTCCACTGCCTCGGTTCTCACTAACGTCAATTCTCCCCCATAGAAAATTCCCTCCTCCCCCTACCCCATTCTGTGTAGTCTTGGAAGAGACATGGCTGTGTCATCACACTGGACTTGTGGTCATTATAGAACCAACCTAACGGTGATTGCAGACTAAATACTAGAACGCACTCAGTTGTGTGGGAGCCAGTGAAAGGCAGCAAGGGGTTTTTAGGAGCTGTCACGTGGTAGACTGGGAGTCAGACATTTCCTCACTAAATAGAGTAAAAGGATAACAGGGTCAATATCAAAGAATATCAAATAACGCAGGTCCAGAAGAGATGGGGCCATGACTTTACCAAGTGCTCCCTTCCACTGTGTAGGTAGGTAGTCCTGCTCACCCACAAGTACCTTTACCCCCTGAGGGGATGACGATTACAAACTTGCAACCCATTCCTGTTGGCCACACCCCCTGTGCTCTGATTTGCCAGTCAGGGTAATGTCCCGCCCTTTCCGAGGTGTCTGATTTCTGGGCGGCCACGCCCTTCGTTCCCAAAGACCAATCGCAGCTCCTGTGTCAATCTTGTCCTACCTTAGACTCCACCTCCATCTCCTGGGCTCTGATCGGCTGCCCCAAGTTGAGGTTCCATTGGCTGATTCCTGCCCCGCCCACTGTGTAGGCAGGACTTAACCTCTCACCCTCCTCTCCTAGTACAGTTTGATGGTCCTGACTGGGAACGGACCCCAAGCTCGAGCAAGGAGCCTCGGAGACCGCAGCCTGCGGAGCGCGTGGACGCAGCCCTGACCCTGGAGAAGCAGCCGTGAGTCCAGATGCTGGAGGAGGGGTGGCCCCAGGGACCCAGGAACTGCAAGCGAGCTGGGGCCTCATTCACTCACTCAGTCACTCATTCATTTCTTTGGTGAGGGTCCCCAGGCTGGTCCCCACTCAGCATGTCCAAAGGAATTGTCTGGCTGTGCCCTGGGGTCCTTCCTTCGGCCCCCAGGTGTGTAAAGTCAACTGAAGGTGTCTGTCCCCTCTCCCAGGTGGTTTCATGGGCCCCTGAGCCGTACAGAGGCGGAGAACCTTCTGTCCCTCTGCAAGGAAGGCAGCTACCTAGTGCGGCTCAGTGAGACCAGGGCTCAGGACTGCATCCTGTCCCTCAGGTGAGACCCAGCCTCAGTGCCGCACCCTGATAGGGCTCCTGGGCCAGTGGGTGGGGCTTCCAGGCCTGTGGGTGGGGATTTCTGGAAACTGGGAGGGCTTTCAGGTGGCTGCGTGGGGCACCTGGGCCAGTGGCTAAATGGGCCCTACGGGGAGCGAGCTTGGACGCCTACCTAGCAAGAGATCCAAACCTCGGGAAGCTCAGGGAACCAGCGCCCAAGGTTCTTTTGAATGGCTCTGTCCAAAACGTGACATGCAGCCCTGAGGGTCTGTGTGAAGGCAGATTCTCACAATGTTCTAGAAAGCACTAGAGTTTGAGGCTCTGGTTCCTTAAGTTGCCTAAAGTGTGAGTCCACTATAGCACCACACGACCTGTCGCCCCAGCACCGGGATACGGGGATGAGGGGCAGGAGGATCAGGAGTTCAAGTTCAGCCTCAGCTGTTCATCCAATTTGAGGATATACTGGACTACATGAGATTGTCTCAATAAAAGCGGGGGGGGGGGGGGGGGGGTGCTGGTGAGCCAGTTCAGTGGTTAAGAGTGCTTGCTGTACTTTGGGAGGACCTGGGTTCAGCCCCTACATCAAGCGGCTCACAACCGCCTGTAATTCCAGCCCCAAGGAATATGACACCCTCTTCTGGCCACTATGGGTACTGTGCGCGCACACATACACACGTGTTAAAATATAAATCAGGGCTGGCAAGATGGCTCAGTGGATAAAGGTGCTTGCCACCAAGCCTAAAGAACTTGAGTTCGATCCCAAGGACCTATATGGTGTGAGTAGTGAATGACCTCCACAAGCTGTCCTCTGACTTCCACATGTGTCCTCCCAATGCACATATAAATAAGTGAGTCCTGTAAAAGATAGTTTTAAAGGGGGGCAATAGGAGAAGAGCTAGCCTCGACATTGTTAGGACGCCTGCCTTTATTCCAGGGTCTCCTTTATGAGCTGGGGCGCCGGTACAGATGAACTCAGGTTCCAAAATGGGATTGTGGAAGATGAGAGGCTGTGAGGGAGGACATTTTACAGAAGTGACACTGGGACTGAGCTGGAGCCATCAGGGCCAGGGTGAGCAGGGTAGGAAGTGGTCTTACTGCAGAGCCCAGGCTGGCCTGGAAGAACGCAGAGATCTGCCTGCCTCTGCCTCCCAAGCATTGGGAGTAAATAAATACATGTATTTATTTTGAGGAGGAGGTCTCACGATGTAGCCTTGCCTGGCCCATGTAGACCAGGCTAGTACTGAATTTGTAGCAATCTGCCAGCCTCTGCCTCTCAGGTGCTGTGATTTTTTTTCATTTACTTTTGCGCATGTGTGGGTGTAGAGGTCAGAGGACAACTTTGGGGGTTCAGTTCTCACCTTCCACTACGTGGGTCCTGGGGAATCGAACTCAACTCAGCAAGCTTGGCTACAAGCGCCTTTACTCTCTGGTCCCTCTCACTGGTCCAGAACGGAGCTTCAAAGGGAAAGATACATTACAGAGTCATGGAGGTCAGGAAGTCACTGAGACTGTCGTCCTTCGGAGCGGCGCGGGGTGGGGCTGCCAGAGGTGTCCCTGGGGGCCCAGCACCCACCGTGCACTTGTGGGAAAGTGGCTGTGGAGAGTCGAGTGGGTCCGGGGGACTGAGGCTCTGCCTTGACCCACAGGAGCAGCCAGGGTTCCATGCACCTGAAGTTCACGTGGACCCGGGAGAACCAGGTGGTGCTGGGCCAGCACAGTGGACCCTTCCCCAGCGTGCCCGAGCTGGTCCTGCATTACAGTGCCCGCCCGCTGCCTGTGCAGGGGGCCCAGCACCTCGCCCTGCTCTACCCCGTCACCGGCAGCCAGAGCTCCTGAGGGCCCCGGCACGCTGGCTGCCAGGTCAGAAAGAGGACAGGGGGACCCACAATGCAGACTCCCTCCAAGCCAAATATAATGCCCTTTTTTTTGGGGGGGGGGTTTCCAGGGACCCCTCTCTGTGACCAAGCCAAACCTGTGAGTGGGCTTGACCGGTTTTAAAAAAAAAAAGGCTCTTGCTTCCAGGAATGAGGGGTTCAATCCCGGGGCAGAGAGCAGACACCTGCAAGTTGTCCTCTGATGTACACACAAGTCACACGCCATAAATTAATAAATAAATGTGATAACAATGAATTTTAAAACCCTGTCACTCCCTGCTATTCTTTTGGGGTGGTGGGGAGACCTCGGAGGGAGCGTTCCCAAAGCCACGGCAAGCACAGATGCCTTGGGGACTGAGCAGTGAATGACTGCCTTTGTCACAGAGACCCAGCTGGGGTTAGAGGCTAAATGTCCCCAGGGGCAGGAACAGCTCCGCCTCATCCCAGCCTGCAGCTGGGCCTCTGGCCTACCAGGCTGAGCAGCTATCTGTCCCCCGGGAAGTCCACGGTAGTGGGGGAGGGGAGACAGCAGCAGTCCGTGTCACTTCAAGGTGACATTGGGCAGGACAGGACCATGGTACATGCTAGTAGCTCTGACCCTCAACACTCCTGGCTGGAGAGGTGGTCCATTGAGTGGGAAGGGGCTATCCAGGCCTGAATGTGGTCTCCCTGCTCCTTGGACATGTAAAAGCAGGGGAAGACGGGGAATTATGTAATTACATTATAATCGAAATGTGCGTGGGTGAGTACACGAGTGTGCCTGTGTGGGGTCTGCAGTTCTGAGCTTCCAGAAGTGGCTGCTGGGAATCGGTCCTCAGGAAGGGTAGTTTGTACTCTTAACCGCTGAGCCATTGCTCTAAGCCCCTATTATAAAAATATAAGGCAGTCCATCAGGTTAACCCAGCACTCGGGAGGCAGAGGCAGGCGGAGCTCTGCGAGTTCAAGGCCAGCCTGGGCTACAGAGGGAGTTCCAGGCCACCGAGAAACCCTGTCTCAGAAACAAGGAAAAATCAAAAGTGGAGCAGACTCTTCCTGACCAAAGTGTGATGCCAGGCCATCTCCTGGAACCCTGGAACCCACAAATGACTTCATTATTGGTAGCATCCCAACCAACACAGCCACAGGCTTTAGCTTTGCGTCTTTGAAGAGCCTTGTTAAAGCTGAGCTTGGCTGTGCAGGCTTGTCACTACAGTTACTGGTCCTCGAGGTTGTTCAGAGCCAGCCTCGGCAACATAATAGGAATTTGTATCAAAGTAAAGAGGAAAAACAGAACTAGGGATGATTATCAGTAGATACCTACCTAGAATCCCAGAGAGGGGGCTGGGGGCGTGGTCAGGGTGGAGCCCTGCCTACAATCCCCAGTGAGGGGCTGGGGGCGTGGTCGGAATGGAGCCCCGCCTAGAATCCCCCAGTGAGGGGCTGGGGCGTGGTCAGTGGTGGAGCCCCGCCTAGAATCCCCCAGTGAGGGGCTGGGGCGTGGTCAGGGGTGGAACTCCTACCTAAAATGCCCCAGTGAGGTGCCGGGGGCGTGGTCAGGGTGGAGCCCCGCCTAGAA